AGAGACAGACAGGAGCAACAGGAGGAAAGATAGACAGGAGCAACAGGAGGAAAGATAGACAGGGGCAACAGGACGAAAGATAGACCCGGGCAACAAGAAGAAAGACAAATAAAGGCAACAGGAAGAAATATAATAGGGGCAACAAAAAGAAAGCCAGACAAGGGCAACAGGAAAAATAGAAACAGGGGCAACAGGAAACAGAAAAATTCAGAAAGGAGCAACTGAAAAAAATTGGTCTAAAGAGTTTAGACAGTACTTCCCTCGCTGTCGGAAACTTGACGACTGCATGCCTATTGTGTTTTTTTTCTCATTACATTTTTGTAGTGGGAATTTAAAAAAAAAAATGGCGATGACGTCATCAACATTTTTGCAAGGACACGTATATCAGTTGGGATAGATGTAGTGTAATACTAAGAATAAAATTATTGTATTCCCAAATTTTCGGGAAAATGAATTGGGTCGTTTTGAATATTGATTTGTAATAATCAATAAAATAATTTATTGCTTCGACTTACGCTTATTATATAAAACATTGGGTTTTATTTTAATTCTTGACGGTGAAATTCACAATTGGTTGATTATAAACATGTCTATTTCACATTCGCGGACCCAAGTGAACGCATAAAACAAATGCAGGTCTGTAATGTTAAAGTCGATGTAAATAAGCGTGCTACCCTTATGTTTCAACCGAGTTTTTCCTTTAACAAATTTTGTGTCTACCAAATTGGGTTGGTTGGGGTGTAATACTAATAATAAGTGTTGCCTTTAATTTAATCTATAAAATAAATTGACTTCATTAATTTTTTTGAACCACCTCTTAAGAAAATCTAAAAAATATGAATGGAATGATAAATCACAAGTACAAACTCATCATATTTTTTGCATTTTAGATAGGATTTATTCAGCAAAATTTAAGGGTGACGTCATCAATTTTTTTAGGAGGGATGAACAAATACATTTTGAACAAAAGTTTACCATGCTTATAATAACTTTAAAATATTCCTAAGATTTCAAAGCATTCGGTTTTGTAATTCCTGATTAAATCGATAAAATAAATTCACGCCTTCATTAATTTTTTTGAGTCACCCTGCATATGCAAATCCAAAAATATGAACGGAATGATAAATCACAAGTACAGACTCATCATATTTTGTACATTTTAGATACGATTTATTCGGCAAACTTTTGAGCTGACGCCATCAGTTTTTTGTAGAAGATAACCAAATATATTTTGACTAAAAATTTATTATGCTCTTTATAACCTTAAAACATCTGCAAGATTTCAAAGCATTCGGTTTTGTAGTTCCTGATTAAATCAATAAAATAAATTTACGCATTCATTAATTTTTTTGAGTCACCCTGTATATGTAAACCGAAAAAATTTGAATGGAATGATAAATCACAAGAAGAGACTCACCATATTTTGTACATTTTAGATAGGATTTATTCAGCAAAATTTTGTGGTGACGTCATAAATTTTTTAGGGGGGACGACCAAATACGTTTTGATCAAAAATTTACCATGCTTATGATAATTTTAAAATATCTTCAAGATTTCGAAGCATTCGGTTTTGTAGTTCCTGAGTAAATCAGTAAAATAAATTTACGCTTTCATTTATTTTCTTGAATCACCCTGTATATGCAAATCCAAAAAATATGAATGGAGTGATAGATCACAAGTTCAGACTGATCATATTTTGTACATTTTAGATATGATTTATTCGGCAAATTTTCGAGCTGACGTCATCAAGTTTTTGGAGGGGATAAGCAAATATATTTTGACTAAACATTTATTATGCTCTTTATAACCTTAAAACATGTGCAAGATGTCAGAGCATTCCGTTTTGTAGTTCCTGATTAAATCAATAAAATATATTTACGCATTCATTAATTTTTTTGAATCACTCTGTATATGCAAATCCAAAAAATATGAATGGGGTGATAAATGACAAGTACAGGCTCATCATATTTTGTACATTTTAGATATGATTTATTCGGCAAACTTTCGAGCTGACGTCATCAAGTTTTTGGAGGGGATAAGCAAATATATTTTGACTAAACATTTATTATGCTCTTTATGACCTTAAAACATCTGCAAGATTTCAGAGCATTCGGTTTTGTAGTTCCTGATTAAATCAATAAAATATATGTACGCATTCATTAATTTTTTTTAGTCACCCTGTATATGCAAATCCAAAAAATATGAATGGAGTGATAGATCACAAGTAGAGACTCATCATATTTTGTACATTTTAGATATGATTTATTCCACAAACTTTTGAGCTGACGTCATCAGGTTTTTGGAGGGGATAAGCAAATATTTTTTGATTAAAAGATTTATGATGCTCTTTATAGCCTTAAAACATCTGCAATATTTCAAAGCATTCTGGTTAGCAGATTAAAAATTAAATTTCAAAATGTTGTTTTATAATTTTGATTTTTTTTCCAAAAATCTGGACGTTTCGGGTGAAAAGTCGATTCAGAGTTGTAAACTACATGTGTAGGACTATGTTATTTTATACAATTGAAAACCCATTTACTATGTACAATTTTGAAGTGACGTCATCGCATTAGTGGTGGGGATGATTAGACAAATTTTGGTTAGCGTTTTACCATCTACATGATATTCTTAATATAAGTACAAAATTTCACAACAATCGGTCGAGTACTTTCGGAGATTATCTGTCTAATAAAAATCCGGGACAACAGACGGACGGACAGACGGACGAACAGACGGACGGACAGACGGACGGACAGACGGACGGACAGACAGACGGACGGACAGACGGACGGACAGACGGACGGACAGACGGACGGACAGACGGACGGACAGACGGACAGACAGACGGAAATGGGAGACCTATTTCTTCGTCTTCTAGGGGTCATGAAAGATCGAGAAAACGTAAAAGTAGAGAGTCGGCCGACGGACTCGATTACAATACTTCCTTTGCTTACGCTCGGGAAGTAAAAATAAAAACAGAGGCAACAGGAAGAAAGACAAACATGGGCAACACAAAAAATATATAGAGGGACTATAGGAAGAAAGACAGACAAGGGCATAAAAAAAACAGACAGAGGCAACAGAAAGAAAGACAGACAGACAGAGGGAACAAGAACAAAGACAGACAAGGGCAACGGGAAAAGAACAGACAGAGACGACTGTAAAAAATAAGACACAAGCGACAAACAAAAATCTGGATGACGAGATAGGAAAAAAGAAAGATAAACTGGGGCAGAAAAAACACGACAGAGAGACAAAACGAAAGGATACCAACAGAAAGAAATAGAGACTAAAAAACAGCATAATTGAAGGTAGAGAGCAGAAGGAACGGAATACGAACATACGTATACGAAACAGAGATAAAAATCATCAGAAAGAAAAAAATTAAAAGCAGGAAGTAAAGTAAAAGGAGGAAGTAAAGTAAAAGAAGGAAAGAAAATCCTCAAAACCGGTTAGAATCAAAACAAACAGTAAATTAAAAGTCATCGGAAAAAAATTAATAAAGAAAGCAAATAATTCATTTCGTGGGATGCCCAGGAGAATGGCAGCAGTCTTACAGGTTCGTAGGGGAAATACTCGTTATTGACGTCCTTAAAAAGTGTGTCAATGATCGTTGGATTTGCTTTTTTTGTAAACTTTTTTTTCAGCTTTGTTTGATTATTGAATTTTTATCAGTTTCTATTAAAATATTTTTTAGTTCTTTTTGGATAAAAACAGCATCAAAATATTGCAGCCGAAATCGTACTTTGTTTTTGCACATTTTCGGATCTTTGAAAAAAAAATGCGGGTTATGCAAATATTAGTATCCCTCAAAAAAGTTTCTGCTCCACATGTTTACTTTACCATAATTAATGGTCTGATATTAAGTAAGTACGGTCCATTTTATAACGCTTGTCTCCTAATTCAGACCTTTCGACTCACCTTTAAAAGTTTTCTACTTATCTTTATTTCGTATTGTGAAACTTTTTATTTTATTTTATAGCTACATTACTATTATTACATATATATGTATATAGTTTCAGTTACCTTAAACTAGCCGACCCGGCAAACGTTGTTTTGGCATTTCTAGTGAATATTTTGATAGTTAAATAAAAAATTAAATTAAAATAAACACATATAAATATAATTAAATTAAATTGTGAACTATACATAAAAATTTATCGTACGACAATGGTTATATTCAATAACCATCTTGCAACCCTATTGCGCATCTCTAGATGAAAGTAAAGATACTCATATCGTTATTAAAAAATGGGGGTTGGTGGTAGAAGGGTGAAAATTTAGGGTTACATGTATTTTTTAATGCCAAATCTCAAAAAAATTAAAATAAAAAATTGTATTTTCAAACGTCATATAACTGACACTTATATGACGCTCTTACCGGGGTTTAAGTGTCAGTTCTATGACACCGTGTTTGAGCGGCGTATAAGTACTATGTACTTATACTCCGCCGGAGTATAAATATGTGAAAATCATAGTGGTTGTCAACCATAGTAACCATGGTAAGTGAAATCAAGGCAATTCCTTAATGAAGCAAGAAGATAGGAAATAATCATTTCAAAAGAAGATTAATCGTTTGAAAATAAAATATTGTATTTCATTCGGAGTTTAAGTGACTTCATGTGACTCGTATGGACTTAATTCGCCTCGCTATCGCTCGGCGTTTAATCGTCCATACTCGACACATAAAATATCACTTAAACTCCTAATAAAATAAATATCTATTGTCTGTTTTTGTCTGTTTCGGAGGAGTTTGGTTACGCGAGAATTTTATATTACATTACTTTAGAACAAATTTCATTACCATAAAAGAGGTTATACTGAGTCGACCTTAAAAGATATCCATATGCTTTTTTTAGAACTTTTAGAGGGTAACAATTCCATCATACATGATTTTTACGTAACTTGAACCTAGATATAGATTTGTTATCTTGGTTCTTGGCAGCAGTACAACAGTTTTAATTTTGTTGTACATATTATCAATCTATTAAAATTCTAACCTTGTATCCACCGTTCGTCAGTCCGGCGTTCCTCTTCGCCAGGACGCATTTCATCCTTAGGAAGAACACCCGCTCGCTCTCGTAGTCCTGCTGCGAGGGCAACGGCGGCACCGTGGGGCTCAGAACCGCCGTCATTTCGTCGTGGTCGGCGGGATGGATGTACTCGTAGATGCTATTACCCGTCAGTTCTACCTGAGAAAATTCGATTGATCTAATTGCGGCAAAGCAAGCCCTTCACACTACCTGCGACAGGCCCAGATGGACCGAAGCCGTCTCCGATATGTACATTATCTTTCCGTCGGGGGCCACCACGAAGATGAACCCGTCCAGGGTCTGGAGGAGGTACGACGCCAATTCTTTGATCTGGGTTTCGCGGGGGTTCGGCACCACGGGTGTTGCGCCCCACGCGTCCCCGAGACCTAGAAAGGAAAATGCCATGGAAACACTGGCACAATCTTGGCCTACAACACGTCAAAGAATATCTCATTTCGGTGTGTTTATTCAGAGGCTGCTTCTATTTTACATGATAAAAACGTAAAAGTGTGAGTAAATCGTGAGCTGCGAGGATCTGTATGAAGAGAGACAGTTAAATTAGTTCTGTCAATATGTCATGTGAGACTCGGTGCTTGTCTGTTTGAGTAAATAGGATTTTATTGTGGTCTAATGATGTTATCTTTCGCCTTTTGTGGGATGTTTTGGTTTGAATCTATTCAGATATGGATCTTATGCGATGAAATTCCTGCATATGCACGTGCGATTTTACTAGACGTTCATCCTCATCAAAAATTTTAAACAACATGAGCTACTCACCATCGGGAAAAACCTGCCTCATTTTCAAATAGGACGTCGTCAGCCGAATAATCGAGGCCTTATCCAGCTGTGACGTGATGGCATCTGGAAGCGGCAGCAACTTCGCGAGCTCTATAAACTCAGCATTTTCCTTCTCCCTGCGGGACCTCGCAGCATTTTTACTTTTTTCTTTCATGGCGCCGCGAGCCCCCGAAGACTCTGCAACAACCAAAAACGAAAAAAATAACTTCCGCAGCACCCTCACAATCGCACTACAAAACAAATTCATTACCGAACTGCTCAGTTCATACAATTACGATTTGTAATTTAAATTATCTCAACGCAGCACTTTGCAACGATGAAATTCTCGAGGACCTCGTTCGCGGACTCGAAAACCACTCGAATTTGCATATTTCGTCAAGCACCCTGTTAACTTTACAAAAATAGACTTTACTTGATTTCCCGAAAGCGAACTTCATGGACGATTTCGCGACGTAGGTGGATTTTTTGGGGTGGGATGACTGGACCATGATGCATCTGGGTTGATTGTTGCGACGTGTTGGCATGACTGTTTTACCGGACTGAGCACAGGTGGGTGGTAAGGTGCACGGATGTTAAGGGTGCCGTGGGAACGCCCTCCAAATGGTGGGTTTTTCCAAAGATAACAATAGGCTCATTTGTAGCGGGGATGGATTGTTCTCGAAGAAGATAACGGAATTGATAAAATTAATTTGCCAGTTATAAACGATCTATTACAAAAAAGGTCCGTTCAATAAAAAACGTACCTACTTTTCTAAAACTTGTCACCACCTGTTCGCAAAATTTATACCCCTTGACAGGCGGCAATCGCGTCAATTTTCCGCCTTTTACAACCTTTCACAGGTAATTTGGAAGCCCGTGGGCAACCCCAAACATCTGGAAGCAATTCTGTAAAAATACCTTACGTATTTATACAACCTGCTCATTTAAATTTTAGTATTTGAGAGTGGTAACGTTGGCAGGTTCTCACAGTCCAACAAGTGCTGTTATTGGTGGCAACAATACGGACCAAAACAACAAAAACTAGGTAAAACGTGGCCCGCGGCACTTCCCAAAATTTTATGAATGAAGGCTTACTCATCCGGTGGTAGTAGTAAAAAGGGTAAGAACCGATTTTATGATGATTGCTACAAAAATGTGAGTGAATTTTAACGGTTTCATAAGCAACGGTGATCCAGTTAGAAAAATTGGATTATCTGTTTTCGTAAAATCGCACATTTAATTAATGCTGGAACTAGCTCAGAGGTCACGTTTGACAAGTGTTAACAGCGGTATGATCACGTTCTGTATTATTGCCGAGATAAATACAAAGTATCGTTCATGGTAATGGTGCATGCGAGTAAGTTTGCACTTGCTGCTCAGCTGGGTAAATATACCATTGCTAATTATTGCTTTAGACACGTTCTTTAGATTAATAGGATGTTAACTTGAGGAGAATTTTCCAGCGAACTGCTACTACGCCACGAGCTACCATTACTAACTACACTTGTTTTTTCTACAAAGCTGCAATATTATTTTTATATTTTTCTAATTAATCTAATATCTCATGGACTCGATTAAAAAAATTACTACAGTTCTTCTATTATCACATATTAACAAAAAATGATACAAATGTTTGCTTTCTATAACGAGATTCCAGAGATTCTACGGATTTTAGGGTTTCTAAGAACTCCCAAGGTTGGATGGAAAGTTTAGAGATTCGTAAGTTCTTGCTCCTTAAATCTCGACGTTCCCGGCAGAATTTTAATCACTTTAACCCTATATTGATACAGAATATCATGTTTGCCAAGATGAGATTCGTCTTTAATTAACAGCCAATGAAATTAATCATTCATTTTATTGGATGTGAATTATTCATTGACAAGCAATTAAAAAATAGACAAAAGGGTAAAATTAACTCCACCCATCTCCGCATCGGTTTTCCACTGGCTTGTTTTATTTAATATGAGATGATAATTGAATTACATTTCGTAAAATGGTCCAATTTATGCCTAAAAAAATTAAAACTCTAGGAAATGGGTTAATTAAAACACAATTGTCCTTAAAGTGCGTGTATTAAAAATGCGATCCGTTCGTTTTAGAAGCTTATTACGAACTAACTTTTCAGATCACAAATACGCATCTACAAAATATAAAATTCAAACTGAAGTACTCAGCGTTTCTCGGGCGTCTTACATTTATCGCCCTTTATAAACAAATACTTAATAGTAAGCTAAACAGAGAATGTATGGGATATGGTCGTAATAATTTTTGCCTTAATTAATATATTGAATTACAACAAAAACGACCCCGCCCACCCACCCGGTTTTCCTTCTCATCAGTCATTTTATTGGACAAAAAGGAGGTTTTATCTTGATCATTCATTTTTTTTTGATTAGATGAAGACTGAGTTTTACTATGTCCAATGGCGAAGTAGACTAGAATTTTTTGAAATTTTTAAAAATTTTTTAAGTATTTGGCAAACTAAGACTCATTTTGGCAAATGACCTGCTCTTCTAAGAAAAGGTACTAGCCCCGCCCACCCACCCGTATTTTTTTAGAGCATATGTCATCTGCAAAAATCAGTCTCATACTTGCCAAGATAAGACTCACTTTGGCAGACGACCTATTAATTATTTTCTTAGAAGAGTAGGTCATTGGCCAAAAAGAGTCTTATTTTGGCAAATACTAGCCCCACCCACCCGTCTTTTATTTTCTTAGAGAGTAGATCATCTGCCAAGATCAGTCTTATCGTAGCGAGTACTACTAGATTTTTCAATTTTTCGATTTTTCAACTTTCGAATTTTTCAATTTCTCGCTTTTTAAATTTTCAATTTTTTGATCAATCTTTCGATTTTTGATTTCTCTGAGCAACTGAAAATAACTTTCGATTTTTTAATTTTACAATTTTGGCAGTTTACCTATTTCTCAATTATTTGATTTTTAAAAATATCGGGAAAATAGATGTTTATTTTTTTTAATTTTCCATTTTTGATTTTTTGTCACCGGGTTTTTGGAAGGGAGTAAAAAGTAATTTTGATCAGCAATCTGCCATGTTTACCGTAACTTTAAAACATCTGAAAATCTTGTCTCTAATTTTTGGATTTTTCGATTTTTCAAAATTTCGGTTCGAATAAATTTGTTCTTTTAGTTAAAAAATCGAAAAATAACAAATCGTGAAAAGGAAAAATTTCAACTTGAGAACTTGAAAAATTAAAAATCAAAAAATTCCAAAATTGTAAAGTTAAAATTTGAAAAATCAAAAGATTGGAATTAAAAACTGCAAAATTGTCAAACCAATTATCAAATGAAATATTTAAAAGCTGAAAAATCTAAAAACTAAAAAAAATGAAAACTGGAATTTCGAATTCGATTTTGTTTGTTTTTTTTTTTTCAATTTTTGGATATTTCAATTTTTTAATTTTCCGATTATGCAGTTGTACAATTTTCCGATTTTTCATTTATCCGATTTTTCAATTTGTTATTTTCTTATTTTCAGTAAGTACTGCCCCGCCCACCCGCCCTTATTTTCTCAGAGGATATGTGATTTGCCAAAATCAGTTTCATCTTGACAAGTACAAGCCCCGCCCACCCACACTTTACTTTCTTAGAAGAGTCGGTCATCTGCCAAAATTAGTTTTATTTTAACAAGGACTAGCCCCGCCCACCCACTCTTATTTTCTTAGAGGATCTGTCATTTGCAAAAATCAGTCTCATAATTGCCAAGATAAGATTGATTTTGGCAGATGACCTACTCTTTATTTTCTTAGAAGGGTAGGTCATTGGCCAAAATGAGTCTTATTTTGGTAAATACTAGCCCGGCCCACCAGCCTTTTATTTTATTAGCGGGTAGGTTATTTGGCAAGTGCTAACCCCACCCACCCGCCCTTTGTTTTCTTAAAGAGTAGATCATTTGCCAAAATCAATCTTATCGTAGCGAGTACTACTAGATTGTTCAGTTTTTCGATTTTTCAACTTTCGAATTTTTCAATTTCTCGCTTTTTAAATTTTCAATTTTTTGATCAAACTTTCGATTTTTTAATTTTACAATTTTAGCAGTTTTCCTGTTTCTTAATTATTTGATTTTTAAAAATATGTATCGAGAAAATAGATGTTTATTTTTTGAAATTTTCGATTTTTGATTTTTTGTCACCGGGTTTTTGGAAGGAAGCAAAAAGTAATTTTGATCAGCAATCGGCCATGTTTACCGTAACTTTAAAACATCTGAAACTTTTGGTTTTGATTTTCAATTTTTGGAGTTTTCGGCTTTTCAAAATTTCGGTTCGAATAAATTTGTTCTTTTAGTTAAAAAATCGAAAAATGACAAATCGTGAAAAGGAAAAATTTTAACTGGAGAACTTGAAAAACTAGAAAACAAAAAATTCCAAAATTGTAAAGTTAAAACTTGAAAAACCAAAAGATTGGAATTAAAAACTTCAAAATTGTCAAACCAATTGTCAAATGAAATATTTAAAAGCTGAAAAATCTAAAAACTAAAAGAAAATGAAAACTGGAATTTCGAATTCGATTTTATAAGATTTGTTTTTTTTTCAATTTTTCGATATTTCAGTTTTTCGTTTTCCGATTATACAGTTGTACAGTTTTCCGATTTCTCATTTATCCGATTTTTAAATTTCTCATTTTTTTTTTTTAGCTAGTACCAACCATGCAGCCTTTATTTTTCAGTTTGTCATTTTTTTATTTTTAACAAGTACTGCCCTACCCACGCAGCCTTTATTTTCTTAGGAGAATAAGCCATCTGCCAATATCAGTCTTATCTTGACAAGTACTAACCCCGCCCACCCTCCCTTATTTTCTTAGAGGATATGTCATTTGCCAAAATCTAGTACTCGCCAAGATAAGACTGATTTTGGCAGATGACTTATTCTCCTAAGAAAATAAAGGCTGCGTGGGTAGGGCAGTACTTGTTAAAAATAAAAAAATGACAAACTGAAAAATCATATGTCATTTGTCAAAATCAGTCTCATCTTGACAAGTACTAGCCCCGCCCACCCACCCTTATCTTCTTAGGAGAGTGGGTCATCTGCCAAAATCAGTCTTATCTTGACAAGTACTAGCCCCGCCCACCCTCCCTTATTTTCTTAGAGGATATGTCATTTACAAAATCTAGTACTGATTTTGGCAGATCACCCACTCGTCCAACAAAATAAGGGTGGGTGGGCGGGGTAGTACTTGCCAAG